CTTCTCTTCCATATTAACAAATTGAAACTAAGATCGGTTGTCAAAATGGTTAGAATAGATCTCGTCGTGGATTTCTATCTCTTTCCTTCTCTCTTTTTGTTTCTTTCTCATCTCTACATCTAGGAATCCAACCACGATATAAACAAAATTGGAAATCGAAACAATTTTTTTTTAAAAAAAATTAAGAATCAAAGTGCAATATTTATGAAAACTTGTTTATCAATGATTGAATAAAGATCCAAAATTATAATAATATCATTAATTAATAAAGTTTATGAGTGTATGTTAATAGTGCTACAATGAAAAAATAATGGACTATTTATTGAACATTAAATACTTATTTTATTTTAATTGTTTTTGTTAATGTTAATTAGATTCCACTAGCCAATTGCCTGCGATACGATGCGTGTCGGGTATAACAAAATTATTTCAATTTTTTTAATTAAAATCTTACATTTAATTAATTTTTTTTTATGTTTTTCATAAATTTTCTATTTAAAAAACATGATTCATTTTTTTCATGCGTTGATTTGTAAATAAAAACTTGTAATGATTTAAGTCGAAATATTAATTCAAAATAAAAAAAAACTTTAAGAATATACTTTTGATAAGATTATATTCAAAAAGAAAAAAAGAAAAGAAAAGAAAAAGGAAGCTACAATTAATTGATATATTTGTATAAAAATTAATAAATGAAAAAAATAAAATTTTATTTTTATTCTATGTTGATAAGAAGATTATTTTTTAAAAGTATATGTATTTGATTTATATATATTTATTCGTAAAATAATTAATAGTATTAGTATAAAAAATTGTATTTGAATAATTTGAGTATTCTTTTAAGAAATTATTTCAATCATTTTATTCCAAAGAAATTAGTTTTATAATATTAAAAAATCATAACAAATGGTTGGTGTTATGTGTGTAAATACATTATTAATTTTTAATAAAATCTATGATTTAATATTTTTTAATACATTATGACTATACTTAATGGGTTGAAAGTGTGTAGCATAAAATAAAAAATATCAAAAAAACATCTAAGACAAATTATCCGAAACATATCATATATATATTGTGTCCTCGCCAGTCTTATTGAGAAACATAAAAAAACAATTGTTCAATATTCCTTTTTTTCCTCAAAAATAAAGAAGAAAAAAGTAATTATAAATTATTTTTTAAAAAAGAAAAAAAAAGACTAGCCGGGGAGCAGGCTTGTGTGCTTGAACTTGGTTTTAGCATGGCAACCCCCCTAAAAAAAGAAAAAAGAGAGAGAAAAAAAAACCTGGATGACAGCTTTGTTTGCTCTCAAGATAAAAGAAGACGTGTCATCCGTATGTAATTTTTTGCGAAATTTAGTTGCCAAAAACGTAGTTGAAAAAATGATTTTTTAATTTCTGATTTTTTCAAAGCCAAATTCAGTTATATTTTTATCAAAAAATACCTCAAAATCATATAAAAACTTCAACAAAGTGGTTTAAAACCTCAAAATCTATTTTAATGCACAGAAAACACTAAAAAATTTAAATCAAATTCAAAATGTTTTTAGATTTGATTCTAGCTTTTTCAATTATTTTATGGTTTGTGACCATTACAAATAGATTCTATTATTTAAGACAAATGATTTGATAATGAGTTTGACATTTAAGATGAAAAAAATAAGCCTCATTATGCTCCTCTCTCTCTCCTCCTTCCTCCTTTTTTGGGTTTCTATCTCCTCCAAGCATCTAGAAAATAAATTGTAATACAAATAAAATTTGAGATTGAAAAAAATAATTAATAATAATTAATTAGTAATAGTAATCAGTAATTTCCATGCCCAACCCCGGACATCTCAGGGGAGAAAAGTAAAAAAAAAAAAAAAAAGGGACGTGGGGAGATATTAGCCGCCATTTACATTGGTGGTCTAAATTTCAAAGTTTGAGCTGGCGAAGCCGTCAATCAACACGGACCCACCGTCCACCTACCAGCAACAAGTCAATGCTCCCGCCTTTCAACCCCAACAATGTGAGTCAAAAAAAGGGATAAAAATTTTGGCAGTACTAGCCAACCAACATCCAATGCTGTTAAAAAAGAGGAATGCCGTGGGAATCCATATCCACACAACCTTTTAAGTCTGGTAATTTAAAGGGCTCTGCAAAAACACATCCTACCGTTTCATTTTGCAACTCAATAACATTGTTGAATAATAATGTTGTGCTGTAAATCTCAACCAATATATGTATAACAAAAACAATTATATGAGTAAAGTAGTTAAAAAAAATTAATTAAACCGTCATTTTCTTTATTCTAACAAAATAAACCCATCATTCATATATTCTTATGAATTAAAAAATTCTTTTTTTGTTGTTGCCACACGATTGATGGGTTTTCTAATAAATGCTTTGCAGGAATTCTAAAAGAGATATACGTGTTGTACAGTCCCGTCATCTCCATTAAAAAAAAAAAAAAACACTAATTAATAACAATAATTTTGTATCAGATAAAAAATATAGTACATTTATTTCAAAGATGGTCAAACATTCAAGTCAAATTATTCTTTAAAATCAAATGGATGGAAGAAAACACATAACCGCGGGACCACACAACACAAAAATTAGGTCATACGATATCTAAATGTCGGAATTGAAAATTAAAAGTTCCCTTAACACCACTTTTCCCGAGCCAACCAAAAATTACTTTAATTAATGGGTGTTGACATGCACCACTTGGCACTCACAAGAATTTTTTTATCCACGTTTTGTTTTTCCTTTTTGCAAAAAAATGGTACTACTGTTGGAATATATTGTGTCTTTCCTACGGTAAATTATGAATTAATTCCTATAGTTTTACCAAATGAATTAAGTAGTTCCTAGTTTTAAAAACTAATTAATTAGTCCATTTTATGTTTTAAGAAATAAAAATAGATAATATGAAAAGATTGATGAAAAAAAAAGCCATGTTTTAAAATAGAATAATATTAAATTAAGTAGGGCTAACAATAGTCGATGGATTAATTAATTAGTTTTTGAAATTAGAGAAACTATTTAATTTATTTTACAAAACTAAGCTAACTAATTTATAATTTACTCATATTTCGTATTTTTGGTGCATGAAATTACCTCATTACACCTACATGGATTGTGAAACAAAAACTTAATATATTTAAATAAATAACAATCAAAATGTTGAATATTGATTTAAATGTTTAAATGACTATTTTTCTTTACAAAAGAAAAATAATGTTGAAAAAACTTGTGATGATAGCTAAACAAACGACATGCCATCCTAATATATGACGACATGTCGTTCTTATGCTTTTCTATAACAATATTTCAAGCCCCATTTTTGTCTTTTTTTCCTTTCATTCTAGGTTGAATCGGACGTTAAATGTTGTTCTAGGAAAGCATGAGTTTTAAAAGTAATCTCAACAACAATTTAATAATGCAGCCTCTCTTTGTGTTCAGTTTAATTAATTCAATTGATTTAATAATGCTTTAAGATCACATATCGTTACATATTAGAATGACATGTCGTTAGGATTAACCATTATTATATTTTTTAAATTAATTTTTTTTTTGTGAAAAAAATGCTTAAAAGATATCGTTTAAGTATTTAAGTCAATGGTCAATGCTTTGATCGTAAAAAATAACAATATTTTAGACCCGATTCATGTCTTGTTTTCCTTTCACTTTTGGTTGAATTGGACATGAAATGTTGTTATATGAAAGCATAAGTCTTAGAAGTAATCCTAATAACATTTTATTAATGCAACCTCTCTTTGTGTTAATGTTTAATTAATTCAATTGATTTAATAGTGCTTGAAGACAACGTATCGTTACATATTAGAACGACATATCGTCATGATTAACCATTATTATAATTTTTAAATTATTTTTTTTGTAAAAAAAAAGCTTAAATGATATCATTTAAGCATTCGAGTTAATGATCAATAATTTAATTGTAAAAAAATAATGAAAGAAAGACAATGTTTACTCAAAAAATAATAGTTTGGGGTTAAATAATCCAAATTGATAGTAAATAACATAAATTGCCACAATTCCAATGGTTTAAAGGTGGTTTTTAATATTTTAAAAAGAAGAAACTGGAATGCTTAAACAACGGTTAACCTCGTAAAAAATAAAGAAGGATAATATTTATCTAAAAAAATAATAATTTGAAATTCAAATAGTCTAAATTGACAATAAAGATATTAAATTATTATAACCCAATAGTTCAGTGGTAATTTATGCTATTAAACCAATTCTAATATTATAAAACTAGTGTATTCTTGTATGTTTTCCATTAATGCTAAATCTTTATAGTTTCCTTGGAAAAAAAAAATCTCTATCTACAGATTTGTGGTGATGGTTTATAAACTACCGGAGTACATTATAAATTAGTCCTTTTAATTTTGTAAAATATAGTTCTTTTAGTTTAAAAAATCGATTAATTAGCCCATTTCATCCATTTATTTTTTTTCAATTTATTTAAAAATAAAAAAAGAAAAAAGTAAATAATATGAAATGTTTGATGAGAAAAAAAGATATAGATATTTTTTAAAAATTATATCAAATTAAACATAGCCAATACCCATTAAAAAACTAATTAATTAGTTTTTAAAACTAAAAATACTTTTTAATTTATTTTACAAAACTAGAGGGACGAATTTATAATTTACTCTTATAAATTATAAAAACATGATGGTGACGAAGGACAAGAAAGCAGTAATTTTGAGAACAAAAGTAACAAATCCAAAAGCCATAGTAGGTACAGTAACCTTTCGACGTCCTCATCATCCATCATCCCTCTAAAAGGAAATTGCATATTCCAGAATCCATCCCTATTCCTCTCTCCAAACACTCCCTTCAATATATTTCTCAGAAAAAAAAAAAAACAACCGCTGGCTATCTGTTTTCCTCTCGTGACTCTCTACTTGTTTCCTCTTCGTGTATAAATACTATAACTAACCAACCAAGCGCAGACGCAGAGAAAGAGGGGGGGGGGGGGGAGAGAGAGAAATGGGGGTAGTTGCCGAAGGAGGAGGTGAAGAGGAGAAGAAGATAAGAATAGGAGTTTGTGTGATGGAAAAGAAGGTGAAATGCGGAATTGAGGTTCTGTTTCTTTTTATTTTTTTGAAACCAGAAACTGAAAGCTATAAAAATCATTACTGATATGATAAAAGCATTCCGCAGTTGATTTACCGATAATAATAATAATAATGAAGAATTTGCCTTTGGTTTTTTCGAATTGTTCTGGTTTCTTCAGGTATTATCAGCTCCAATGGGACAGATTCTTGAAAGATTACAAGCATTTGGTGAATTTGAGGTGTGTGTGTATATATATACATATGATTTTATAATTTCAATAGCATTTTTCTTTGTTTTGATGATTTTTGGGGCATGTATACTCTTGTAGGTTATACATTTCGGGGATAAAGTGATTCTTGAAGATTCAATTGAGGAGTAATGCATTTTCGCTAAATCACTGTTTGTCTTTCGGTTTACTGATATGCCCCCTTCTTTTAGTTTATTTTTGGAGACTGTGGATTTCATTTTCTGTCATTGTTTTACTTTATATTTCTTTCCAAAAGATGTAGAGCGATAAAAATGCAATGGATTTGTGGATTTTATTTCTGTTTATATTTTGACAATAAAAATTTTCGATTTTTAAACTCGTACCACTACCGCTGATAATATGTTGAAAAGCTAACATGAAATATGAGAGTTTATTTTGGCATTTTGTTTTTACATTGCCCCAGAGATTCTGCTGTTTATTGAGGAGGCTTGCCTTTAAGCCTTTTGCTTTCTTTATGGCCTAATGTTGTTTTATTGGTCCCCCCGCCCCTCTTAAATCAATTCTACTTTCCAGTTCTTTTGTTTATCAGTGGTTTTCTACCGCTGAAATTTGAGTTTGAACAAGGAATTTATTCCGTCACAAAAATTATAAAATGGAATAAATTGCTGCTTTAGGCCATCTCACTTTTTTTTTTGCCTGGGGCCTTGGGCTACACAATCCGGTGTAGGCCTCCCTCATTACTTAATAATCAAATAAACTGGAGTCAGTGAGAGTCGAACCTCCTTCACTGAAGGAAGCTACCAAGTATCAACTGCTAGGCTATGCCTGCTTGTATTAGCCCATTTAAAATTGACAGTTGGAGTTAAAATTAAAGTATTATAAACAGATTCTGTTGTGTGAGAGGATATGTTGTGGAGGAGTTACTTGTCATGATGTGTGCTGTGAAGTCACTAATGCTGGCAGGCTCTGGAGACTTATTTCTGGCAGTTCCATGTGTAATTAACTTGGTGATTATAAAGACGCTGTTAGTCTGACCTGGTTAATTTAATTTGAGCATGCACTTAGAAGTTGACTGATTTGTTGCACTGTTTGCTCGTTTCAGATGGCCAATATGTGATTGCTTAATTGCTTTCCATTCCAATGGTTATCCCCTCGAAAAGGCTGAGGCATATGCCACTTTAAGGAAGTAAGCAGCATTCTTGCTCATGTTCCCATTTCAAATGATTGAATTGAATATGCTTCTTGAGATGAAAGTCTACCAGGAACTTCATACTTGCAAATGATTTTCAACTCACCTTGAGAAGCTGAAATCTTTTATTAGTGTCTAAATGCATGTTTCATCTATAATTTGCTATTTGTTGCTTGAGAAACTGGGGCAGCGATATGTGAATATGAACAAGGAATGATCTTTTTCTTGGTCCATGAAAAAGTGAGTAGAAAATTATCCAGTTGTGGAATAAAATCGTCCTATAGTGCAATTGGGACCAGTGCCTAGTTGCTGTTCAATCTGTTGCACCAAAAAATGCCATTCTTGTGTTTCTTGAACTTTACTTTTATATTTAGTCCACTGTTCCTGATAGATCTTATTTGTCCCACTGCACAAGCTGCTATTTCATTTTTGTCCACATCCATGTGAAATGCTGTTCACTGTTAATGGTTCATGCCTTTGTTTCAGGCCTTTTCTAGTGAATGAATTGGAGCCACAACATCTTCTTCATGACCGGCGGAAGGTGTATGAGGTATGAAGTTTAAACTTCCATCCTATCATCAGGATTTCATTGTTTTGTGTTTCACAGCAAGGTGATTGGTAGGACATTTGCATGCCATAGTACAATATTTTATTATTACACACATCCACACACCTACACAGCAAACAATATTCTACTCACCTTCTTGAAGTATGTCTTCCAGTTGTTCTTTTTTTCCCCCTCCCCTCATGATCGGCCAGTCATCTACAGAAAGGAATGAACCCTTTGCACTGCACAATATACGTCCTTAAATCTGCTCATCTTCATTGATGTAGAGTACCAATTACTATAATTGAGCTGTGCATGTGATTTGTTATTTCATATTTGGTTAAAGCTAATCAATTATTCTCTATTTGTTTTGGTGATTCGAGCGTCTTGAAATGTTTGGAATTCCTGTCCCGAGATATGCCCTTGTTAATAGGGAATTTCCATATCAAGAGCTGGATTATTTTATTGAAGAAGAAGATTTTGTTGAGGTCCATGGAAGTCGTTTTTGGAAACCCTTTGTAGAGAAGCCTGTTGACGGTGAGCATATTTCATACATTTATCAAGTTCTGTGATTTATGCTGTTTTTGCTCATTAATATTTGGCTAAACAATGAAGCATTGCTCCATGTACTTTCCTTTATACTTGTATAGTGGGCTGTTGTCTTTGTTTGTTAAGGAAATTATAATTTATGCAATGAATCAGTATTTCCATTTTTCTGATATTCTTGGTCTTTAAAGTCCTGGATTTGTGCCCCTCATATCCATCAATTAGATTTTCCTATTTTTTCAGAAGTCCTAGATGTGCTACTGTGCTTGGATTACATAAAGATGTTGCCTCAAATAGACACTGCCAATAAATTTTTTATTTTGTAGTTATCAATTGTTGTATTCATTACTTGTTGCACTTGAATTAATTTGTAGAGTTTGCTTTACCTTCAGCATGCATGACAATGACTCTTATGTTGTACTTTTGTAAAGGGGATGACCACAGTATCATGATATATTATCCCAGTTCAGCAGGTGGAGGTATGAAGGAATTGTTTAGGAAGGTATGCTTACCGACAACTTCTTTCGAATTTGGAAGCTAAATTCTGTTTCTTTGTCTCTTTCTTTTCCTTCTGTTTTTTGCATGACAGACGTAAATATGTACTGCTATGCACACGTTCTTAAAGCATTGGTGATTCTCCTATGAAAGAATTTAAGACTTAAGAAATATTTACAGATTTTGGGAAACACTAATGCTTGAACCGGTCAAGAGCCAATTTGCTCTTGCTGCTGTTAAGCTACGGTCTGTTGTCTATTTGTCTACTTGGTTCTACTGGTTTATAGACAAGGATACCAATCCATAATCTGTTTTTCCCTTGGCGTGGGCTTTTTCCTTTTGCTAGGTCTATGTATTTTCCACCCTATTTGTGCATCGTTATGGAATTATTAAGGCACGCCTTCCAGTCATACTTGCATATTGTTATTTGCATCTCACTTTCCAAGATGCCTGATGGCTTGGATGTTGCAACGGTTTTGTATTTACTAATCCAATCTATTTTCATTATCTATCATAGTAAATGTACATGATCAGGTCTCGTTTCAGGTTGGTAATCGGTCAAGTGAGTTCCATCCGGAAGTTAGAAGAGTGAGGCGTGAAGGCTCTTACATATATGAAGAATTTATGCCAACTGGAGGGACAGATGTGAAGGTTGTATAGTTTTCTGCTAAAAAATTGCCCTTGTGGTTTTGTTTTACTCATTAATGTTGTGATAGGATGTACACATTTTTTTTTTCCATGTTGCAATATGTTTAGAAAGCTCATTGGAACTTGTGATGGATTTGAAATAGTTGGGGTATTTGTCCAGGTCCCTTTGTTGATTAATTTTAATTTTGAAGAGAAGGTACAAAATTTAATCATGTTATTACGATTTGAATTTGATTGCATGGCAACAATACAAATGGAGAATAATATGGATTCCAGTGTTTAGCTTTTAAATTCTAACCTGTCACAATAATGTTACAGAAAGAAGAGGGGGAAAAAAATAGATGAACAGAACTTCTGAACCTATAAACTGATATAAATGCTTAGTCAAGTTAAACTGATATAAGCTGTTCAGATGTGTGATTGACCAGTGATATAAAACAATAATATGCATTGCATTATGAGATAGCGATGGCTTACTTGGTGTTATCTTAAGAAAAAAATGCTCTTCAAATTTATTCCTGTATAGTGTAATGTGCACTGTGAAATCTGTGGTAACTTGTTGACTCAAGTAGGATTCAAAAGTTTTGCTTTAGGTTGAACTTTACCTGTTAGGTGAAAATAGGAACGCCATGTCCTCTATGTTTCTATGCTTGCTTTTTGATCGGTCTTCCTATGTGCATTTTGGGCTTTCCCTTGGATTATTGTAGTCTAAGAAATATCATATTTGTCAGAAACCTTTCAAGGAATTGACTTTGTAAGATGTAAATATTCTTTGCATCACATATCAGGTTCTTATGTTTATGGTATTTCAAATATTTTTGGGTTTTTTGAAACTATTTTGTGTTAGCACCATACATTTATTCTATCAGTTTTTGTTGTTTTTCTATGCATGCAGGATTCAATTCTTCATCATGTATTGTTTGTTACTGACATCTACAAATGATTGCCTTGGCATATCATAAATGATTATAGGTGTATACTGTTGGTCCTGAATATGCACATGCTGAGGCAAGGAAGTCGCCTGTTGTTGATGGTGTTGTCATGCGAAATCCTGATGGAAAGGAAGTAATTCCCTGATTCCCTGCAGCAATCTAGGCTACTGAAATCACCCTCTCTCTCTCTCTCTCTCTCTCTCTCTCTATATATATATATATATATATATATTGCGTGCGTGCGTGCATGAGTGACGCAAACCAACGCACATGCATCGACACTTGCACCTAGATTCACTTTCTCAGCTGCTCCCTTATATTCTGCTTTGTGGGTTTTTATTTATTTATTTATTTATTTTTATTTTTATTTTTAATGTCCTGTCATCTTATTATTTCTCTGCAAATATCTGATTATCTTGCAAGATCTTAAAAGCATGGGAAAACAAGATTTGTTTGCGTTCCAACTTGTTGGAATATGGTTAAATAGAGTTGCAACATGGTTGAAGAATCAATTTGGTAACTGATATTAATGTTTACCATATGCTTGATTTGACGTCAAAGGAATACCAAAGAGAAAAAGCAGAGAAAAGTGTTGCAGAGTAACTTAAACTATTGAGCTCCACTATGCAAATATTTAGATGGTTTGACCACTTTTGGGGGATGTGAGGTTCATGTTTTTCTCTTTTCAGGCCTAATTGTGCTAATTTCTGTTCACAGTAAATTCAGGGGATCCCACTAGCTCTTTAGTTTCCTTCCGTTTAATGCTTTGGAAAATAGTGGATTGAAAGTCATATGCTTCAAAGTTTAGGACAAAAGATGCCATGGGAAAAAGATATAAACTGAAGAGCAGTAAATCTTTTGTATAGTTATGCAAGCAATGTACAGTTGCCTCTTCTCGCCATATGACGTCCCTTAGAGTAGCAGCATGCTAGGTCTTATTTCATAAATTGGCAGAGGCTTCCCATTCAGGTCTCATAGTTCAACTAATGCTTTCAGACTGCAGGTGTCAGAATCGACAGGTAACACTTCTATTGAATTGTAAGGACTCTTCAAGTGAATTAAGCATAAGAACCTTGTTTTAGCTTTGTATTAATTGCGAGGCATTGTCAGGCTGCCTTTAAGCTTTTATTGTTCTGACTGCTCCTGTTAACTGAACTAAGTTTGCTTCTCAAGTGATGAATTTTTAAACTAGTAACAAGAAGATCAAATAAGAGAGGCAACATTCCATTATACATGCATGCCTGCATGCATTCATACACACACTCTTTTTCTAATGCAAGTATACTGCAATCAGAAGGCATGATACTGCTGAATGTTTTTCTACATTTATATTCCAGGTTCAGGGTTATATGATGATTGACACATATAGCTCTTTACTGTGTTTGACAGGTGAGGTATCCTGTGTTACTGACACCTAATGAGAAGCAAATGGCAAGAGATGTTTGCATTGCATTTAGGCAGGCGGTATGTAATCTAAATCTGGTTTTATTTAATTAGTGTTTTTTCTGGCTTCCAAGATATTATTGTTCTACTTGATTGTGTCCACTCATGAATACCTTATGCTGAATGCTTTCTGTTTGTTTTAGTTTTTATTGCTTTTGCAAAGCGCAATAGTATTCCTTTCTCCTTCCATGATGATCAAGAATAAATACTCAACAATGATTGATAAGTGTAGTTGCATCAGATGTGTTACTTTATTGATGTTTCTTACTGACATGATTTAGTTGTCCGGAGTAACGAACTCATTTTGCTAGTGTCATCTGATGTGTTTTATGTGACCTCTTGTTATGCTTACTTTTGAGGAAAAAAAATTGGCTAATAACTGAACAATAGCCACTTAATTCTTGCTGTTACAACTGCTTTAGCCTAGACTTCCTGGTTAAGACTCATATTTCTTCTTAATAAGTCATTTAAGTACAAGGTTTGTGGTTGCTGATCTTTCCAATGGTGGATATTCCTAACAGCTAAACTTATCTTCCTTTGAATAAGTACACTAACCTCCTATGTGATTTCTCTATTTTATTTTCATATTATTAATGCTATTTTCATTACTGATATTGTATTGTCAGTCAATACTAAATTATACTTGTTGATTGCAGGTTTGTGGGTTTGATCTCCTGCGTTGTGAAGGACGATCATATGTTTGTGATGTAAATGGATGGAGTTTTGTGAAAAATTCCTACAAGTAATGGTCAATATGTTTTCTTCTTCAATTTTAGTTTCATTAATGCTTGTTCAAGCAGTCGTATGCTGTTTACAATTTAGTCTAAAAAGTTTGGAGGTGTTTACTTGTGGAAAATTTCCTTTTTGCAGAAAACTGTAGAAACATGCTTACTAATTAAAATAATGAAAATTACTGTTTTGGCAAGTGTTTTCTATTTCTCTATTTCTGGAAACTACTGAAAGTTGTTCAAATACTCCACCTCTAGAAAACAAGTGCCGTTTTTGGTTAGTCTTTTCCTTTTTTAATCTCATTTTCTTTTATTTTCTTAAGGACAAGCCTATAGAGGCCCTTGTTTTCTATTTTGAAAACTTCATGGTTAATAAACATATTTTTGTAATTTTTCACACGAGTAGAGATGAAAACTGTTAAACGTTTCTGAAAGGAAACAGTCCCTGCAGTTTCTCTAAAAAAAAAAAAAAAAAAAGAAAGAAAAATTCTGATAAATGTGTCCTGATTCCTCAACCCATTGAGCTTTTTATTTGGAATATTTGCCATGTCTTCATTTTTTTTCCCTTGCATTGGCATATTACACAAAATTATGAAAAGTTATACAATGTCTTTTTTGTTGTAGTTATCTCTATTTATTTGATTTTTCACAGTATATCATGACTGTGCAAAACTGGAGCTTGTTCATTCTTTGGTTTATTTATTTTCTTTTTCTTCTCAGCAATTTCATGATTCTCGCAATTTTCTTTAGATTTACATATCATTTCCATTCTCAATACAGATATTATGATGATGCTGCTTGTGTGTTGAGAAAAATGCTTTTGGATGCCAAAGCTCCTCACCTTTCGTCAGCAATTCCGCCCACTTTACCATGGAAAGTCAACGAACCAGTCCAGCCTTCTGAGGGATTAACTCGTCAGGGAAGTGGGATTATTGGCACATTTGGGCAGGCTGAGGAGCTACGCTGTGTGATTGCCATTATTCGTCAGTATGTTATATCATTTGCTTCAGTATCTTTACTTCACTTAAGATTTTCAAATCTCCCTTCTCATCTTTGTTGTATGTGGACAGTGGTGATAGAACTCCCAAACAGAAGGTGAAGTTGAAGGTTACTGAGGAAAAACTGCTAAACTTGATGTTAAAGTACAATGGGGGACGACCCAGATCTGAGGTGATTCCTTTTTTATTGGGATAAAGACATCAGTGGTACATGTGATTTTGACTATTTTCTAATTGAGTCCTTAACTTCATTTTTTGACAAATATAATTGCATATTTCAAAAAGTAAAAAATCATTTCATATTCTTGAAGTACAAGGATTTTTATTGAAATCCAGATCTGAGGTGATTCTCATTTTAAATTGAACTGTAGGAAATTATATATGAGATATGAGATCATTTATTGAAAAGATAAATAAGATTTGGGGTTAGAATATGGATAAAAAGAGGTTGATGATCAAGAACCCTCTTCATATTTATTTTTTGGTTTATTTGATTCCCATTTTATGTTGAGTCAAATTTTTTTTCAAAAACCCATGTTATGTCTTTGCCTCCTCTTCTATTTCCCTTTATGGCATGACCTCCCTTGATTCTTCCCCATCATCATCAAAACTACAGTGGTGGGAATAAGTGTGTATGGCCTGCATTCTTGCTGGCATGGGTAGCCCAGTTTTGGATTCTCATTCAGTTCCAAGTGTCCTTAGCCTCATTCTTTATCCACAAAACTCATTGATGTTTTGGGCCAATTTTCCTCATCTTATGATGTGTACATGTATTGTCATAATGGAGATATATCATTAGATAATGGTGATATCAGCTGTATTATTAGACGGAGACTAGTTTTATGAACTGATCTGTTACTTTGCAAAATATACGTGCAATTTGCTGAAAATTGAAGTACAAGGACTCAATGAGAAATTGCTAAAAGTAACTGTACTGCTGATGTCTTTATCCCTTTTTTGTTCATTACTATTCTGTTGTCTTGTAGTCCTACCGAGCTGTTCTATATCAGTTTTTTTTTTCCTTCCTCAGACCAAACTTAAAAGTGCTGTTCAATTACAAGATCTGTTAGATGCAACACGAATACTTGTACCTCGTACAAGGTATCTTTTGAAATTCTACAATTCCACTGATTTAACTGCTGAAGATGGGTTCCTTATCGATCTGCCTTTTAACGATACACATTATAGAATTTCATGAATGTCGCATTCAAATGTTTGGTTATTACCATCATCAACAGTTCATTTGAGATTCTTTGCTTATAATTTTGTGACTGATCTATTATAATGTTTGTGCCATGCGATGAGCTTTGCCAATATATTTATACATGACAGCAGGCATTTGTCTGCTTGATGCTTATAATATGGAAGATGGAGTTCAAATTTTCTTTAGGGGACAAGGATCTGCTTTCTGGAACATAGATTGATCATAAGTTCGTGATCCATATGTTTATGATATAAGAAGTAATAGGGTGCAAACTTCAGAGCACTGAGAGTATCAGATCTGTCACAGTGCTGAAACTGGTTTTCATGTTATATCTGCCCTGGCTGCTAATTGCATTGTCCATATATTAATTTATTTTTTGAATGCTGATTATTATTTATTGGTGATTTCACTTTTCTGTTTTTTGCTACATAGACCGGGTCGAGAAAGTGACAGTGAGGCCGAAGACATTGAGCATGCTGAAAAGCTACGCCAAGTTAAAGCAGTTCTTGAGGAGGTTGTTTTATTTGTCCTGAATATTTGATTTCTTCAAGATATCCTGTCACTGTTCTTGTGATTATTATGATCAAGTTTACCTTTTGTAGATCTATGGGTTCATAACTTGTTCCATTTCAATTACACGTGGCAATTCCATGGCTTTGTTTTCATAAACATGTTTAGACTGGATGAAATCTAGATGATTTATGTGTAGAAGAGTAGTCAAGTTTTGATTGCATTGATGTTAATGGCTCATCTTGCATATTACAATTGCGAAATTAATTCTAATGATGCAACAATGCTGTTAAGAAAAGAGTTGATTGGCATCCCATGCTCAGTGCTTAGAGTTCATTTTTCCATATCTAATATATTGTTAAGTATCTTAAATATTGCTATTATGTTTCTTATGTTTGAAGTGTTTCTTATTCCAGGGGGGACATTTCTCTGGTATTTATAGGAAGGTCCAGCTAAAGCCTCTGAAGTGGGTTAAAGTTCCAAAAAGTAATGGTGAAGGCGAGGAAGAACGACCAGTTGAAGCTCTCATGGTTCTTAAATATGGAGGTGTACTTACCCATGCTGGCAGAAAGCAGGTGTTAATTACTGATGTCTTGCTGGCCTTAGACTTCATTTATTTTTCTACAAGCAATACCATGCAAAATTCTTCATACCCTTCACTGTAAAATAACCTTCTTAAGTTGTTTTAATTTTCAATTTTGCTTTTCTGATGTCTTTGCAGGCTGAAGAACTGGGTAGATATTTTCGAAATAATATGTATCCAGGTCAAGATAATGAACCTTTTTTTTGCTTTTTTAATGAAATAATGATCATCAGTCGTATGTATGTCCAAAATTTTCTTAGGCCTTTCTTCCAACATTTTGCTGCAAGGTGCTATCCATCTATGACTAACATGAACTTCGAGTTTAGGTCTTATAATTCTGCTCATTTTTTTCTTCTTGAATTAATTACTTCTTGAGGTACAGCTCTATGAATGCCTGCAGCATATCGACAGCTTTGCTAAATTTAACTTGTGCAGTGTTTTTGTTTAATATTTTTTCACAAGATGATTATATAATATGTACTAGATTTTCAAATAAATGAATTATAGGTGACTTTCAGCTACATATATAGGATTACAGGCAATTTCAGCTGCTTTACTAAGTTTTCATGCTGCTTTTCCATCCCTTCAAAGGCAATTTTGAAGTCCTTGCGTAGTCAGTTCTGGGCTGCGATTTATGGGCTTTTAGTATCTGGCAGTTTTAGTTTTTAACTGCCCATGGCTTTTCCTCTTGGTTTAACTGTTCTGGCAGACCTTTTTCTTCACTACTTGTGTCATCTCTCTTGGTTTAGCCATTCACACATGTTGACATCTGCTCAATTGAAGAGATTAACAATTGATGTGATATCATTGTTAATTTCTAGGCCATTGCTGTTGACTAGAATGTCAGTGGCCTTACCCTGGCCAATGTAGATTTATGTTCCTGCTGCCACATGTTCTCCAGTACACTTAATATTATTATCTATTTGGGTTGAATTTTGCTCTGAATTGATGCATGCCTCTTTTAAGTTTTGATTTGGGAGGCCTTCTTTCCATGGGTAAGCAGAACAGCGTAAACTATGGTGGTTTTAGTTCCAAGGTTATATATCTTTGCTTCTCTTGATGGACATGTATAAAATCTCAGGTGAAGGAACAGGCTTGCTTCGTCTTCATAGTACATATCGTCATGACCTTAAAATTTACAGTTCTGACGAAGGTCGTGTACAGGTATAGCTTAGTAGTTCACAAAAATAAAATGGTATTTGATCTTAGGCTGCTTTGTTTTCTTATTGGGTGCTATTCCAATTATGGACTGAATTAGCACACCTCATTCACAAATAGTTTCTGACAGATGTCTGCAGCGGCATTTGCAAAGGGCCTCCTTGATCTGGAAGGACAGCTAACACCAATTCTGGTCTGTGGTCTTTTCTTTAGATTCGACCGCTTTTGGATATTGAGTTTTTAACTGACTTGATAAACTTTATCTAGGTTTCCCTTGTTAGCAAGGATTCCTCCATGCTGGATGGACTTGACAATGCCAGCATTGAGATGGAAGAAGCCAAGGTTTGTTTTGCTATTCTAAATGCTAAGAACTTTTGTTGTCTTTTGCTTGACTGAATTTAGCATCCAGTAATTAACTAAGATTATGGCCCAAAAAATGTGTAACTCAGATATGTTCATACGCTTAAATATTTTTCTATTCCTATTATTATTAAACATTGCTTGATGTCGTTTGTGCTGATTGACATTCCAATATGAATAAACTAATTGCTTTCTCCTCTTTGATTGTTTGTTAGGCTCAATCATCTCCAAAATCTGGAACGATGTTCTGCTCAATTCTTACAGTGATTTCCTTCTGTTTTATTGATTTTTGCAGGCTAGGTTGAATGAGATTATAACTTCTGTTGCAAAGATAGTTAATAGCAATGGATCCTCTGAGTGTCCTTGGATGACTGATGGAGCTGGTCTGCCTTCAAATGCTTCTGAACTTCTCCCTAAACTGGTGAGTATTCTTTCAAGTGAAACATGATGAGCCTAATGCCTATACACACAGGTTCACACGCATATGTGGATATTTGTACTGGTGCATGCCTATATTGATAATAAAAAAACATGCTCTTTAATCTTATATTTACTTTGAGGCCTTGGCCGCAAGATTTTGTTTTCGTACTTCAGGAAAAAGAAGTTTTATTTATTTAGATTGGAACTCTGTGTCTTCACTCCGTGATAGTCAAACTGATTGAATGATTCACTTCAAGTCAATGACTTATATTTACAATTAAATTCTCTATCACTTTTTTTTCTGTGTTCAAAGGAACTGTTAAATAAATTAATCATTTACATATGGACACAAGTATTCCATTATGAGTATGAGGTGTGAGGTGATTTATATAAGAGAATTCCTGCCTGGGTAATAGTCAATGGTAAAAATAGAAACAGAGTAACGCTTCACATGTTTTGATGTTCCTAAAGTTTCATGGCACTTTTCTCTAGTTGAATGAGTAATATTATCATTACCCGGATTTCAATCTCAAATCCTTCATTGGGCCATTTGGAAAGACATTTTTCTCAGGGGCATTTGACTGCCCAGAAATAGTTATTACTTTGCTTTACTCACAATAGTTCCTGAGCATGCAAAACAGGGTTAAGGAAATCTTTGTACACACTTTCTATTTAGGTTTCCATGTGCGATATAGCCTGGTGGTGAAGTAGTGGAATTTTGAGTGCAGGGGGTGGCCATTGGATTGCCCATAAACAGTTATTACTTTGCTTTGCACACAATAGTTCCTAAGCATGAAAATGAGTCTTAATAATGCACTTCTTGGAAGTTGGAAATCTTCTATGTATTTTATATTTACGGTTTCCATGTGTGTTAAGGTCTGCTGCTGAATTTGTGGATTATTTTGTACATATTTTTAAGATCAGTTTGCTACCTCTGCATGGCCAAACTCTGTCGTAGTTTGATAGATGGAGTTTCTGTCTCGAATCTGAAAAGGTCTGCATTGTTAAATCAAATTTGTAGGGTGACTTCTGCTCACTTTTAGTTGATATATGGCTGTTACAATGTAGTAATAAAAATTCCTACCTTTGTGACTAGATTTTTTTCTTTTTCCTTTTGCTTACGTAAAAATTTCTCGAGTTCTTTTACTAGATTACCATGCATTGTGTTTCATTGTTACATATGGAAAATTTTTCCAAACTACTCACCTCCTGCTCCTTTTGGGTTCAATGTGGATAGGTAACATTGACTAAGAAGGTAACAGAACAAGTGAGACTACTTGCCAAGGATGAAGATGAAGAACTTACAGAGACAAGCTCATATGATGTAATTCCACCATATGACCAAGCAAAGGCTCTAGGTAAAACAAACATTGATATAGATCGTATTGCTGCTGGATTACCATGTGGAAGTGAGGGATTCCTGTTGATGTATGCTCGCTGGAAGAAGCTTGAAAGAGACTTGTATAATGAACGCAAAGAGTAAGCAGTTTGTGTTGGTTGTTGAATGTGTGATGAGTGTAAATAATTCAGGGGTTGCTGCTCTTGCATTTCCTGTTACATATATGTTAATATTATCTGAATGTAATTTATTTCACAAATATGCATTTCAGCATCTGTAATTTTTTTAAAAACAAAAAGTTTTAGTATTTTTGTTAACATGATGGAACAGTCCTGGTAAACTACCAATTGTCTAACATTTCTTAATTATTGATTTATGTGCAGAAGGTTTGATATAACACAAATCCCTGATGTTTATGACTCTTGCAAGTAAGTTCTCTATTTCCAGTTTATGCTTTGTTTCAAGTTCTTAGAAAGTAATAATACACTCAGACATAATTATTACCTTCTAACCATCATGAATGTGAAATATATCCCTGAAATAATTTCATGGCTCCCAAACTTTTTACTAAGCTTAAGCCTTGCTACACAATTTATGGTTGTGTACAGGTCTTGAATGTTGAGATTCTGTGTTACTTGTGTTATCAGTTTCTAGCACTGTGATGGTTTGCGTTGGTTAATAGTGAGAAGCATGGTCACATGTATTGAGTTAGATAGTTGAGATTGAGTTCCATCCAAAAGACTTAAGCCTTGTGGTGGGTGACTCCTTCTCAACTTTATATATTATTCATTATTGGTTTAACTATTTAATGTGGGATATATGTTCTAACACTTCCCCTCACTTACAATCTATCTTTTGGGGTCTGTCAAGTGGCTTCGGCTCCAGGATTTTTGCTGGGCTGTTGGGCCTCTTAGAGGCTTTCATACCATATAGAGTTAGATAGTTGAGATTGGGTTCTATCCAAAAAACTTAAGCCTTGTGGTGGGTGACCCATTCTCAACTTTATATATTATTCATTATTGGTTTAATCATCAAATGTGGGATATGTGTTCTAACAAAATGTAAAATGCACAATGTATTACAAAGACATCCATTTGTCCATGAATGTTGGCATGGCTGATATTCTCGACATTGATATGAAAGGGTGAAGGATGCATGTAGAGGCAGGATATCCATATATGTTCATTTATATTATGTTTCCTCAAAATAGATATGAAATCAAAGTTAATTCATGCTGATGGTGATTGACTTTCTTTTATTCAAAAACCTTTGGCACATTAATTTATAGAAGGTTCATGGTATCATGTCTTTCCCACTGTAGTTGTTTTCTGACACTACATTGTTTCTTTTTTTGATCTACCATTTTACAGATATGATCTGTTGCACAATGCTCACCTTAATCTAGAGGGGCTGGACGAACTCTTTAAAGTTGCTCAGGTATAAATGGACTTTGATCCTACAATTTATGCAATCTTAACTGAGGATGTCATAAGTGTCTTAAAGTTGCTCAGGTCTACTTCACTACTTTGGTACTGTGGTCTTGAATGTCATAAATATATTGTAAAAGCAATTCTCCCACAATATGCTGATTAAGGTGGCAATGCCTGGCTTCTTTTTGAGTATGCAGTCCCTTTATCTTGAATTAAGAACGCATTTGACATAACTGTGGATTGTATGAAATATTTTTTGTTGAGGCAATGAAGTATACATATCTAATCAATTCTCTCTTGCAAATATGCATAGCAATTAGCAATTATTGGTTCATCATTGTAATTTCTTTGGGTGTTTGAAATTGTTATTGCAGTTACTTGCTGATGGTGTCATTCCTAATGAGTATGGAATTAATCCAAAGCAGAAATTGAAGATTGGCTCAAAGGTGAAGTGCCCTTTTTGATGCTTCCACATGTTTCCTGACAAAATAAAATCAGTTGATAGGCATGCTTAGCTTCTGCAGTAAGTCATATTTGGCAAACATACCTTTGATGTTAAACTATGAGCATTCTGATGAATATTTCTTTAGTAAGTATACCAAATACTCTTAAAGTTATATAAACTCAGGCTAGATCAATGGCTTGATCTCAGGGAAAATTACTATTAGGTTGTTTGCACATGTTTAAAAGTAACATGGCTGTATTAACACGTGAACTGTAGAATACTACAATAACATCCTTCCCCAAATAATAGAGATCTGGGCAGGGAGAGCGAAGGTGGTTAGGGCACTACTGGCTTGTTTGATGTTTGGGGCTCTAATCAAGATTGGCTTCCTTCGCCTTTGTGTGTGTTCTTTTGATCCTCTTGCATCACTTTTAGTCTCATATATATATATATGTTTTCTAACTCATTTCAATTACTGATACTTGATGATAATGTTTTTTTTTTTCAATTGCAATTCAGATTGCTCGTCGTTTGTTGGGCAAAATATTGATTGATCTTAGGAATACACGTGAGGAAGCCATTAGTGTTGCTGAATTAAAATGTAATCAAGATCAGCAATCAGCTTCTAAGAAGACTGAAAAGGAAGACACAGATTATCAGTCAAAGCTTTGCATAAAGAATGAAGACATGAGAAGAACTAGCACCACTAGTGAAATATCAATGGATCAGGATGATGATGATGATAAGGAGACGCAATACCGTTTGGATCCAAAGTAAATATTCTAACCTTTTAATTGATGCTTCAACTTTATATAGAATAACTGATTAATAGAATGCTCATTTTAATTAGGTATGCAAATGTAAAGACACCAGAACGTCATGTCCGTACACGCCTCTATTTTACATCGGTAAGAAAAATACCTTGTCCCCTGCTTTCTATGACAACACATACATCCATCTCTCTCTCTCTCTCTCTCTCTCTCTCCCTAAATGCTTTTTTAAAATATGAAACAATGGATAATACTAGCTTCTCTGTTTTTGGTTTAAGATCTGGAAATTCTTAATATAGAAACCTATTGGGCAGTTAAATGATCTCCACTATCTCAACTTTTGGCCAGAGGGTTGAAGGATCCTTGGCTAACGGCTTAACTATTGCTGTGAAGAAGACAGATTTATGTTACCTTTTTTCTTTTCTGGTTTTCAGAAAATCTTTTATGCACTTTTCAAATGCTTAGTTGTCTTCAAAGACAAGGGTTTATTTTATATGAGATTTCCAATTATTAGACCATAACTTCTTTAGTTTTCTTTTTTGAATATTTTCATTGTGAATACTGTAGTATCTCAGTGCTAGTAAGGTTAATGGGCTGGGGAGGAGAACACCTAGTGTTGATGAATAAGTGAGTTCGACACTCGTTTTTAACTTCTTTCAATGAAACAAGGTACCCTTCTTTTGTTTCACACTTTGTCAACTAAAAGGGTATATTGCCATTGATATGTGTTGAGCGCATGTTGCAATTATTTTCCTACTTTTCCTCATTATTGACCTAGTCTTGCACAATCTGAAATATTTACTTCAATCAGATATAAGCGGAACAATTATTTGACATGCAGATAAACAAAAATGATTTTTTTATTTTTCTATGACACATCATATCCTTAGAAGTTTGTATTGTGCAACTTTGATGACAGGAATCACATATCCATTCCCTTATGAATGTTTTACGTTACTGTAACCTGGATGAATCTCTTCAAGGAGAGGATAGCCTTGTTTGCCATAGTGCCTTGGAGCGTTTATACAAAACCAAGGAGCTTGATTACATGAGCTATATTGTGCTGAGGATGTTTGAGAATACTGAGGTGGTAACACTTTCTTCTTTTAGAATGTTCCTTCTACTTAATTACTTTAATTCTATCTTTGCTTCTTTTGCTTATCAGATTGTTAATTCAACAAAATTATTTTCAGTCAAAGCTAGAGTCAGTTCTTCAAGTTGGCCCAGATTGATTGTCTATCCCAGAAACTGGTTTCTATGGCCTTGAACTATTTCAGTTTAGGAACCTAGCTAATGAGGCCAGTGTTTAACTGGAAGTCAGTCGTGGTTTTTAGTCTTTCTGGGTTGAGTTATAGAGGGAAAAAAAGGAGGTTTCCAAGTCACTTTCATACCCGAAACTTCATAGTTTCCATGTGGTAGATTTTCAACATTGAGGAAACTGATTACTTGGCCACCAAATCAAATTCAGCTGTATGCGAATACCTTGCAGCTGGACCCCTTACCTTCGCCCTTAATGCACAGTTTAAATTTCTGGTGTGTGAGTAGGTGCAGTGCAATTCCTTGCATTTTGGAGGAGAGTAGAATCCACAAAAAAAATAAATAAATAAATAAGTAAAAAAAAATAAAATCTGTTCTTAAGTGGACCAAAATGCAAAGGGTATTGTTTTACTGCAAACACTGCAGGGTTACTGTGCCTCAAATGGCGACAAGCTGACAGAATGTAAAAAAAAAAAAAACCATGCTCAAGTGGACCAAATCCAAAGGGTATTGTTCTACTGCAAACACTGCAGGTTACTGTGCCTCAAATGGCGACAAGCTGACAGAATGTTCTCTCCCGTTCATAACCATGTCTGCAGTAGGAAACACAATTTGTTGTTAGACATCTCGTACAATATGGTGCCCCTTCAATATTTAGAAGGGTTACCTTTTTCAGGCTTTTTTTGTTTCCTACTGCAGACATGGTTATGTGAGTAGGGGCCTGTGATGAACTAGACTAGTTAGATTGGTGTCAGTTAATCACTCATCACATGTTATGCTTTCTGTAGGAGATAATAAGTTCTTTAACTTCGGAAAACATTTTTTGTTTTGTGTTTTTTTTGATATTTCAGGTCGCTTTAGAAGACCCAAAAAGGTTCCGTGTAGAGATGACTTTCAGCCGTGGTGCAGACTTGTCCCCATTGGAGGTAAAGACATTTTTTGTTGCCAAGAGAGTTCCCATGTAATTCTGCTGCTCTTCTTCTCTCATTTTAATTTTAATTTCTTATCCAAAGAAAAAGAAGAAAATAAAAATCAGTGGGAAGTTGCCATGGAACTTTCTATTGGGAGTTTATCAACATATACACGCAACGAAGGAAAGAGAGTAATAATAACATTTTCCCTTCATTTGCATCTTATGTTCGGAAATACAAATCGAATCTCTTTAGCAAAACATTGAACTTGAACACTCATTATAATGGTTAGCCTGGCCATCATCACTGCTTGTTATTGCCTACTAGGCATATCCTTGAGATAGTAAAAATGTTTGGAAAAGAAGTAAATGGAGGGGAAGGAATGGCAATGGAGGCTAATGGCTTTCTAACCTTTTCTGGGGAGGGGATTTTTTTATGGATGGCCCCTCCAAAGGGTCACCTCCACACCCCCAATTTGGGGGTTAATGGAGGAGAGGTGAATAGCTCTATATTTTTACGCTAGGCACTTCCTAATTTAACGTTTTTTATTTAGAAACCCAATTTTATCCCTTTAACAATAAAAACCCTTTTAACCGTATTTTCTGCATCATCGTCTCTCCTCCAACTAAAAGGTCTTATGACATTTAACATTCATCACCTTCCCATCTCTTAATAGAGATATTTTATCCCCTCCATTTCCCTGCTTAGTTATCCAAACAAGGGAAGGTTAAAATTTTCTCCTCCCCTCTTATCACTACTGTTTTTCCACACTCTGTAAAGGTGGATAAGTGGTGGTTCTATCAATGCACTGTCTAGACACCTTCAGATTGTACAATAGACTTTAAACATGCTTATATGAGAAATTCCAATAAAGTCAAAAACATTCCGATTTCTTCTATTGTTTGCTGGTGTTCTCTTAATTTTTACTAAGATGACCTCATTTTGTTCCAAAGTGATTTGATACTAATGAATAGTAGTACACATGGCTGGATAGCATTTAAACTAGGCATAGTTGAATGAGGCATGTTAACAAGCTCTTTTTTTTTTTTTTTTTGTGTTTTGTCAGAAAAACGACAGTGAGGCTACCTCATTGCATCAGGAGCACACTCTTCCAATAATGGGTCCAGAAAGGCTGCAAGAAGTGGGATCCTATCTCACATTAGAGAAAATGGAGATGATGTTTCGTCCTTTTGCTATGCCAGCAGAAGACTTTCCTCCGCCATCAACCCCCGCAGGATTCTCAGGCTACTTCTCAAAAAGTGCAGCAGTACTTGAGCGCCTTGTTAACCTTTGGCCCTTCCACAAGCATGATAAGCATGATAAACATGGAAGTGCTAATGGAAAGTAGCTACTTACATTGTCTCTGTTTTCTCTCGTGAGTGAAAATATTCCACGTTCCCAATTCTTTGGTTATTCCATATCATATTTCTTATGCTTCAAGGTATACTGATTGGTTGAACGCCTGAGGTGAGCTTTGAGCCCTCTCGGAAAGAAAAATTTTGGAGCGTGCTGACAACTTTTAACAGTTGGATGGAACTCTGTCCTGTAATTGTATATTATTTTAATAGTATGTTCATAAAAGAGACTACCATTTCCAGTTGTTTGTTCAATCCTTAGGTTTCTGCGAGTTCAACAACTGTGAGTGTATCATACCACTAGTGGCGGTCTTGACAACATTCTGGAAGACGAGGCCCAAAACATTTGGTGAGTTATTGCATTTTGCAGGAATTTTGTTTCTTGAAGGATTTGGGACGCTAGTTTAACATTTTCAGCCAAATTACCCCCATTAAAAGAGAACTGATTTCTTCTGGGGCATGTCTACGGTCAGCGTTTGATCCATGAACAAGGCAGGATGGAGGAAAGCTTTAGTGTGTTTGGCACGCACACGATCCCCTGAAAAAGCACCTCCCTAACCACACTAGTCATTGTATTAAATGAGATGTAAGAATAAAAAATAAAAAAACTTGAGCATGTAACGAAAGTACAAAACCCCTTGTTCTTATGTATTTGAAAGCACTTGTAATTGAATATTACGTCCTGATGACTTATTTACGTCTTGATGTAATTGAATATTATTAATTATTAAAGTGCTTGTGTTTAATGCAACAAAAAACCTTACCTTTTTTCTTCCTAGATTTGAAAGCACTCCCAACAATTACGTTCAAATAAGTGATGGCCATAGATCAAAGGCTTGTATTGTAGCTTATACGACAAGAGGAGAGAGAGCATTTGAGTTCGGGTCCCGTCTTTCTTATTTTTGTATGACTATCTTTTGCTCAAACAATATAGCTGATTACTTGAAAATTAAATCTTAGTCCATATCTCTTCGACCTACCCTTAACTCAACTGTCCAAAATCAAGAGTCAAGACCCTCTCTCTCTCACCTCCTCCTCCCACAGTCATACTACTCTTTCTCCTTTTGTAGTTAGTCTTCTTCTCCTGGTTTCGGCTTCGATAGATTTGTTAAAGATCTTCTTTTGATAGCTTTTCTTTTGTAGATCAATGATGTGCACTTACCTTAAATCAGATGCAGTCTTAAGTCACCACTGAGGTAATGGTAGCATTGACCAGCGAAAACCCATTTTAAAGGAGGCGATATATGGTAGGCATCATCATGAATCTAGAACAAGGAAAGTTTCAAAGTTGCTCCCTTCCCTAGGACAGTTATACAAAATCATCTGTACTGTGTTATTGATTTATGTAATATTTTTGCTAACTAGGGTTTTTTTGATGTTATAATTTTCATGTTTGGGAAGTTGGGTCGTGCTTAGAATTTCTAAAATGATTCAAAAGAACTTTTGCAAGGCTTCAATGCACAATTGTCTTTTTCATAGGTAAGATGGGCAACGACCCAGTCCATTTGCCAAAAGATAGAAGCCCATTTATTTTTTTATTTTTTTCAAAAATTCGGTTTAAACTGAAAAAACCAAAAACAAAAACCAAAATTTTGGTTTTTTAATTGAAAAACCGAATTTTAATTTGGTAAGATTTTGATTTTTGTTTTTCATAATTCGATTAATCAAAAACCGAACGAAAATAATTAGAAATCGAATCGAATAACCGTTTGTACATCCCGTTTATCATTCATCCGTAAATATATCAATTGTCTTTATTTTATTTTTTTAAATGAAAAAATGGACAATTATTGTTGATGGGCTTTAGCCCAAATCATTAGGTACAAACTTGTCTCTAAAGAAACGAGTAAACAAGTCTCTAACTTCGTCGCCCACACCGATTCCAAAATGAATGAATTCTCCCAAGGAAAAACTTGAATGAAATGACATAATAATACTAGTCGTAGCATAAGAAACGTAGCCTTTATATTATACATAGAAACGAAAAAAAAAAACTATATTTTGTTTTTAGCATCTTTATATAAATTTAAGAGGACTCGTTGTTATTCCACATACTTTGCTCGTAGTTATACTACTCTACTCATAAAGTAGGGTTTTATTTAATTATTACGGTAATCATGCGCTATTTATTTTAATTTTATGTCACCAATTCATCATTATTTAAGCGATTACATAAATATATATTTTGTGATCATGCGGATGGCAAGAATATTATTATTGTCTCCAATTAATGTTACAAGTAAGGGTGAGCAAACGGTTCGGTTAATCGAAAACCAAATACAATCGGATCAAATTATGAAATTTGATTTGGTTTTGAATTTTGAATTTTATCATTTATAACTCGAATTGAAAAACCAAAATTTATTTTGGTTCGATTCATTTTTTGAAAAAAAAAGAAAGTTTGGTTGAAACTAAAAAACGAAAATTTATTCCTAATTTCATTCTAATTTCCAAATCCCATCTCTTAGATCGGATCTCACTCTCTCGACTCGGTCTCAAATCTTAATCTCACTCTCATCTCTCACTCTCTCGACTCTCGGATCTCGCTCTCGTTTCAGCCTTCGGGTTTCGACTTCATTCTCTTCTCCTCCTCGTCCTCCACTCTCCAATCTCCACTCCACTAGTCCACTCCTTCGGTGGCGGTCCGACCGATCCTTCGACCTCCAAGCTCCGGGCTTTAGTTTGCTCACTCGTCGTCGATCTCACAAAGTCACGTACTCATGATCATGGTCATCCTCATCGATCCACGGGCTCCACCACTCTAGTTTGCTCACCCCACCCATCGCCGGACGTCGATCTCACGAGTTCCGTGCTTCGTGACTATAAGTCACTAAGTCGGCTCTCTTCTTTTTTACCGATAACAATAATGTATTGGCAAAAGAATGTATGGTTTGGATTCTTAATAACTTGACTAGTTGTCTATATGGAAGTCCATCTTGTTTTTCCCGATTTTCTCTCCTGTGGTGATTGCTTAATTGGTGCGGTGGTTTGATGGTTTTCCATTTCGTTGTGTTGAATTATTGAAGTGTTGATGATCGATGAGTTTGTTTGTTATTCATTGTTTGATGGTAGAGATTAGAAAATAATCGTAATATGATGTTAGTTTGTCTAACCAACAATTAAATTTTCATTTTTAGTTAAAACTGAACGAAGGAAATGGACAGTTTGTTTTTTCAATGCTTTCTCATTTTCTTGCATAATTTATGCATGCCGATCGACCAGTGTTCGGTCCCCGTAGGCTTGCCTAAGCATTTTTCTTCTATAGATGATTTAGTTTACCTTTACCATAACATTTATTTAGTGAACTTATCAATTTATTAATTCATGTTTGTAATTGGTAATTTCGATTATGTTAATAATAATGTAAATGACAATAGAAGTTTAATCAATAAGATAGCCTTAAATAGAGGCTTAAGTAAATTTTGAGAGTTATTAGATTGTACTTCGTCTATGGTTGAATATAACATTACAATCGGTAGCTTCTAGTTTTCTTTCAAGTTTCAAGATTAAATGTTCTACTTCCGCTTGTTGTTTCTTGTACTAACTTGAAGTAGGCCTACTACCGATAGGCGAGTGCCACGATAGGGCCTACTACCTCGGTGCCTCTTGTCTACTCGTTAGTAGGTAGTATGCGAGTGCCGTAGTAGGCCTATTGTCGGTAGGCAATAAGCCTTGTTAATAACTTCACTTCAATAGGTTTGCAAAGTTGTCTCTCTTTTTTATTTAGTTTTGTCTTTCCAATGTTGAAAAGTTTATTGTTTTTCTTTTTTTCTAAGAAAGGTGATTGTTTAATGATCTCAAGATTGATTGTTCTCCAACTCGCTTTTGTTTTCTATTATGGATAGGTTTGTCCGTCGAATGTTGAAAAGTTTATTGTTTTTCTTTTTTCTAAGAAAGGTGATTGTTTAATGATCTCAAGATTGATTGTTCTCCAACTCGCTTTTGTTTTCTATTATGGATTGAGTTCGTTTTTGGTTTCTTCATTCTAACTAGATTATTAACTAGGAATAAATAACTAGGAAAAAGAAAAATTTTCACTATGTAATATTCAACGAGTAGGTTAATAGGGTAGGCGGTAGTAATTTTTTTTTTTTTTTTGGCTTAAGCTTAAGGAGTGTGAAGCTTAATACTCTTTTTCTCGTGTTTTTATATAGATGTCACAATCTCAATCTATAGAGATGAATTGTGAAAATGTGGATTTAAGCAATCCTAAACCACAATCAAGTGCAACTCCAATTAACACTCAAGACGATGACAAAGGAAAGAAGAGGAAATCAATGAAGCTAAGATCGATGGTGTGGGATCATTTCACAAAGTTTGAAGATGACAAGAAAAACATGAAGGCTAAATACAACTATTGTAATAAGATATTTGCTTGTGATTCTTCAAAAAAGGGGACAACCTCATTTAGGTCTCATGTTTTGACTTGCAAAAAAAACCCTTTTAGTTGTATTGACTCTACCCAAACTCAATGAGACCTAAAAAGGCTTGAAGTGGGAGAAAACAATCTTACCACATGAAAGTTTGATCAAAATCTTAGTAGAAAAGATTTAGCTGAAATGATCATTCTAGATGAACTTCCATTTAAGTATATAGAGGGCGGGGAATTCAAATTTTTTTTGTCTAATTTGCAACATAGATTCAAACTTTCATCTCGTTTTACGATTTCAAGAGATTGCTATCAACTTTATTTAGATGAGAAAATAAAGTTAAAGCAAGTTTTGAAATAAAATAGTCAAAGAATTAGCCTCATTATGGACACATGGACATCTATTCAAAGAATCAATTACATGTATTTAACGGCTCATTTTATTGATAATGATTGGAAGTTATATAAAAAGATCTTGAATTTTTATCCGATTGATAATCATAAAGGAATAGCTTTAGGTATTGCTATTAAGAAATGCTTGATTAATTGGAGAATTGAGAAGGTTTTTAGTGTTACGGTTGATAATGCGAGTTTGAATGATGTGGCAATTAGACACTTAAAAGATGTGATTAAGAATTGGGGTTATAGCATCTTAGATGGTGAATTCATTCATATGAGGTGTATGACACATACTTTGAATCTAGTTATTGTTGATGGGTTAAAATATTTTAATCCTTCAATTATTCATATTTGATCGGCCGTTAGGTTTGTGAGGCAATCTCCAGCTAGGTTGAAAAGATTTAAGGAATGCATTCAACTTGAAAAATTTGATTCTAGGAGTTTGTTACAACTAGATGTTGCTACTAGGTGAAATTCAACATATTTGATGTTAGAGTCACCTCTAAAGTTTGAGAGAGCTTTTAAGAGATATGAGCAAATTGATCATTTATATAGGAGTGAATTTGATGTAGATCATGGTGATAATGTTTTACCACCTAATGTTGATGATTGGAAGTCTTGTAAGAAGATAGTGGGCATGTTGAAAATTTTTTACAACCTTACTTTGTGTATTTCGGGTTCTTTGTATGTGACTTCAAATATTTATTTTGAAGAGATTTATGCTCTCGAATATGTTTTGGAAAAATGACAACGAAGTGGAGATTTGGATGATTTTACATTGGCTAATAAAATAAAATAAAAGTTTGAGAAATATTGGAAGGATATTAAGAAAACGAACTAGTTGATTTATATTACGACAATACTTGATCCTAGGCATAAACTCGTATTTATTGAATTTTCAATCAATGAATTGTATGGTAATTTGGAGGATCAAAGAATGTCAAATATTGTTAAGGAATCTATGTATGCTATGTATGATTTCTATTATCGTTTGTCAACATCTTAAAATGAATTTGGCCAAGGTAGTGGGAGTCGAGAAATAGATGTGGGTTGTGCAAATGAAGAAATGATTGATGAAAAAATAAATTATAAAAAGAGAGATAATGATGCGTTTTGAAAAATACAAGTGTGATATTGGAGGTGGAGGAAATAAAATGGAGTTGGATAAATATCTTAGTGAAGGTGCTGAAAATAATAGTGATGATTTTAATATTTTAGAGTGGTGGAAAACCAATTCTCCTCGATTCCCATCCTTTCACAAATGGCTAGGGATGTATTGGCGGTTCTTGTTTCTACTCGTTTCCTCATAATCGACATTTAGCACTGGAGGAAGAGTTCTTGACTACTTTAGGAGTTCTTTAACTTCTAGCTTAGTGAAATCTCTTATATGTGTTCAAGATTGGATTAAAAATTCATCGACACCAATTATTATTAAAGAAAATTTATAAGATGTTGAGAAAATGCAAGATGTTAATTTCTATAACTCTTATCTTTTCATTTATTATTTCTTTCCTCTATATTAATGTTAAAAGGTTTTTTTTTTTTATCTTATAATTTTTAGAGTTACTAATTGCCACTAACTCTACTATAAATGTTTGAAACTTGATGGATTGATGACTTGATGGTGTTTTGGCTTGATGAATGGTATGTGACTATGTGTAAGTTACTAAGTTTCTACTTTCTAAGTATGATTTTTTATTTTTGTTGCTTGTGTAAGTTTAGTTAGCAAGTGGGAATTGTAAATTTTCATTTTCGGTTGTAAGGTTGAAACTTGCAAGGATAATCTAATTAAAATAAAGGTTTAGGTCTTCTTCAAATAAGAAATGCACACTTACTACAAACATTGAACTAGAGAAGAGAACAATAATAGGTAGTAGCGTACCGCCTCGGTGCCTCCCGACTACCGTCGGTAGGTAGTGAGCCTTGTTCGGTTGTTGCTTGAATACTTAGTTCAAATTAAACATTATACACAAACACTAACCTAAGAAATGCATGTATTAGTGTATTACCGCAAAAGATGTCATGAATTAAGGACTCTCTTCCAAAAAAAAAAAATAGAAAATGTTCAACTTTGATTCTACCTTAGCCGATGTATTTAAATGTTGTTCATCGAAAATTTTTGCTCGTGATTATTGTGATTTATAGTTTCTTCCATGTAAATCAAGGCCAAGACATGAATTATTGTAATTGCTAGTTGATTTTCATAGCATGTTAATGACCTCTTTCGGGAGTATTAAGTGTTTGTTGGGATTTCATTCTATTGCGGATACTAAAGGAGTGAAGGTATTACAAGTGCACAGAAATCACTTGGTTTAGGACAAGAAGAGAGCTCGTGCCTCGTCGTGTCTATTGAGAAATGAGAACCGACATTCTACCATGCTTTTGCTCGTTTAATGTTGATTGTATTGTATCCGAATCTTTGTTTTGCCAAGAATTGTTTTGCATGACTTATTTCTTTTTCCTATATATGAATGTTAAACATGCTAGGTGTTTAAATTCAACTTTAATTGTGATTTTTTTTGTTTGGGTGTTGAATCTTTTTAGAAAAGAAAGTGGTTACTCGGTTAGCTTGACATTGCTAATTTCTCGGCTTAGGCAAAGAAAAAATAAATGAAAGTTTTGGGAGAATTGTCCGAAGTCCGAACTTGAGAAGTAATGAAAAAGTTCGATTAAACCGAATTATTTCGAAAACTAACCGAAATAATTTGGTTACAAACCGAATTAATTCAAGTTCGATCTCGGTTTTTATTTTTCCTACTTCGATTAATCGAAAACCGAATTGAATTATGTTTAATCGAACCATTTAACCGAATAATCACTCATAGTTACAAGGTAACACGCTAGTAGAAATTAATTAATTTAATCCAGGACACAACAAAGATCCATGGAGACACAAAAAAGTCAACCAACTGCTGCTGCTGACAAGGAGATGACTTATTCGTGTGGTCGAAGGGAGAAAAACAATGAGGTGTTTTTTTTACGAGGATTTGAAGGATCATTTTGATGACATCATCCATACGATCTATGGAACAGCAGGTCATCAGCTGCTTTAAGAACACCATCAACAAGGTATAACCCTTATATAATATTTATACGCACTAATTAAATAAATAAATTGTCTTTTTTTTTTTTTTTTTTTCTAATCTCTCTCTGGTTTTTTCAGATGTTTGGAATGTGAAAGATTGATGGAGCAAAGAGTGATACTGATGATGCTAAAGTTTCAAACTAGGTAGAATAGAATATTGTCTTCATCTACCTCATAGCTATATACAGAGCTTGCTTCCAAAACCAAAAAACCCAAAGTTATCTCAGAAATTGTGCTATCCATGCAAACAATGAATTCTCACTCCCTCGACCCATTCCACATTGGATTTTCGGTTTATTGGAGAAGGCCAATTAAAAAAAATTAATAACTGCAAACTGAAAGTGCAAGCAGCTGAAATCTTCTCCCTCCATTATTTATTTATTTATGTATATTTAATATGGCGGCGTCATTCAATTAAAAGAAATTATATTACGCAAACAAGTTAATAGGTCTGACTGCAGTACTGCACAAGCAATTCTTCTTTCACTTCCTCCTGCTGCCTGCCAAAGTTCATCATTTTCTCCTGCCATGTTCTCGTACCTTTCTTCCGCCTTGCAACCCATCACAGCTACTCCAAGCAGACATAAAAATGAGAAACTAAAGGGTAGAAGAAGCTATACAAAGCACTGCAAACGTAAAAGGCCTAATGGGCCTCCCTTGCTTTTATTACCCCCACTGAGATCACATCTGAGGTTTGTATAGGCTCTAGGTTACATAAATAAATTTATCTTGATAAACAAGCCTAACTGTAGAGATAACCATTCCACATATCTCTACCTGCTGCAGCTAATCAATAATATTTGCTTTACTTCCCAGAAGAACAAACTGAAAACCTCAACTTGGCAGACAGTTGCGATTGCAAGTTTCAACAACACAAAATTGCTCTACAAAGTAAATTAAATGACAATTTCGGCCAAAGCTGAGAAGGAAAATAGAGGAAGGAACATGGCAACTCTTCTACAATAGCGAAGGCTATTTATGCTACTGTAACTACTGGCACAAATGCTCAACTGCTGTCACAATCTGGGCAGGTTGAACCACTGTCCATTCCTCCAATGTCCCAGCATAAGGGGTCGGCACATCTTGTGAAGACAAGCACACAATTGGAGCATCCAAATAGTCATGGAAATTTTCAGTGATAGCAGCAGTCAAGCTAGCACCAATACCACCAGTTCTCATGCACTCCTCCACAATCAAAACACGATGTGTCTTCTTCACAGAATTTCCAATTGTGTGAAGATCAAACGGTTTCAATGATCTGATATCAATTACTTCGGGATCATATCCCTTGTTCACTAAAGTTTTGGCAGCCTGCATCACGTGATATCTCATCCGGGAGTAGGTTAAGATAGTGACATGCTCCCCAGGCCTAACCATCTCAGCTTCCTCGAGATTGCAAATGTATTCTTCATCTGGGATTCTCTCCTTGAGGTTGTAAAGCAAGACATGCTCAAAAAGTATGACAGGGTTCTCACTTCGGATTGCAGCTTTCATCAAGCCCTTGGCATTGTATGGGGTTGAACATGCAACCATTTGGATTCCAGGGATTGATTGAAAATATGACTCGAGGCGTTGTGAATGCTCAGCTCCAAGTTGTCGGCCAACTCCCCCAGGCCCACGAATGACAATTGGTATGGTAAACTGGCCACCGGATGTATAGTGGAGCATGCCACAATTGTTTGAGATCTGGTTGAAGGCTAGAAGAAGAAATCCCATGTTCATACCCTCAACAATTGGCCTCAAGCCAGTCATGGCAGCTCCGATGCCCATACCAGTGAAGGAGTTCTCAGCAATAGGGGTGTCAAGAACTCTGAGATCCCCATACTTATCAGCCAGGCCCCTGGTCACCTTGTAAGAACCTCCATAATGACCCACGTCTTCACCCATCACACAGACATGTGGATCTCTGTCCATTTCCTCTTCAATACCTTCTCGGAGGGCCTCATAAAGTAGTAGTTCATGCCTGAGTATAAATTGCAGATTTGTTTCATAATGCACAATACGAAAATATTATCCATAAGCATACATAATGAGGTGCTTATCATATACCCATCAATCACACAGAAAATTCAGAGATATAGTGCACAAAGGTGAAAGATGTGCAATGGGATATATTAGTTTTATTACTATGAGTGGCACTGGGTCAGGCAGCCTGTCTGACCAATGCAGGGTAGCCTACAACGATAGTGGCTAGGGCTGGATTAATGGGGCCTTTTCTTGTAGTTTCTTACTCAAAGAGAGAAATTTTAGAGCAAAATGAAGGCTCTTTCTATCTAGATATCGTGTTAGTGGTATTGCATAGCTCGGTACTCATTAACCCATATCCTACAACTCCTACATTATTGTCCAAAAGAAAGCACACACCTAAAAACATGGTTTGTCATTCAAATTGCAGAAGAAAAATGGAATATCTTGTTTAAGATGAGAGCAATTAAGGAATTAGTCTTCTGAGAAAACTGCTGACATTTTAATCTATCCTTTAAGTTAATTTCGGATCAAATGAAACTACTAATTTCTCATCAACATAATTGCTTTCACCTAACAGTCAATCACATCATTATTTTCTTTCATACTCTACATTTTTCTAATACTCATAAGAAACCAAGAGTCAATACAAGGAACCATGTATTTTTACTACTAGAGTTGAGCATTCTGAGAATGTACCCGAATATCAACTGGTATAGAGAATCAATGTTTGCTATATACCAAAGAGTCCACAGAATACTATTGCAAACTCTCGCAGTAATACAGAGTAGAAATTATAATTATCATTATACAGAATGTTGACGATCATTAATTTGAAATGATAAAATAAAGAGAATAACATAAATATTGAGCCAAAAAAGGAAAAAAAAAGAAAAAAGAAAAGACGAATTGATCACACCAAATCAAGAATAGAATTGCATATATGTGACTAGAGAAACGGAAGCAAACATACCCGGGTTTCGATGCAGCGGAAGCAGCAGAACTATCAGCTTTTGTCTAAAACAAAACAAGAAACAATGATAAATAAAGAACAGACTAAACTCAGAGAACTTAAAAGAAGAGAAGAGGAGACTAACAGCAACTGCATTTGTAATCAATTGATTAACCCTGCGAGCTCTAGCATTAGAACTCCCAAGATTCAGATTGACGCTGCCATCAGATCTCACCACCAAAAAGCTAGCTTTCCTCTCTAAAATCAAACAAAACAATGAACCAATGTCAGAAATCTTGCAAAGAAAAAGGAAATGGAAGCGTTATTGAAGGAAAGAAAACAAACCTGAGAGGGATCTGCGAGAGGAAGGCAGAAGCAATTTCTTTGAATCAAAGGAATTGGTTAAAGCTGTAGCAGTAGCAGCTCCTCCTCCTAAGCCTTGGAAAATGGTGGCCATTTGATTAGATCTTTATGGCTCAAAAGAAATCGATGATTTTCAAGAAGACAGAATGAGGAAGGATGCTAATGGGATGCAATTTATAAAAGCAGGAGATGAGAGAAATGAAATGAAAAAGAGAAGAAGAGGGCGGAGAAATTGAGGGACTGAAAAAAAAAAAAAGAAAAAAGAAAAAGAAAAGTGTTGTTTTTGAACAACAAAAATTAATGGACAGCCACACCAACATAGTTTGCATCGCCCCTTCGGTTCTATTCTACAACTGCGATGGGAGCAATTTATAAATTAGTTCCTCTAGTTTTATAAAAAGAATTAAAGAGTCCTTTTAGTTTAAAAACTTTATCAATTAATTTCTATAATTTTTAATTTATCTGTAACTTGTCCTTTTCATTTTTTATTTTAAGGAAAAAAAAACAAACTAAAATTATATTAAATATGGTCCAAATTGATGAAAAAATAACTAATTATTTTAGTTTTTAAGATTAAAAAGACTATTTAATTTGTTTTGAGAAACTAGAACCACTAATTTATAATTTCCTCACTGCCTTGTGGACTATGGCATCATACTTTTGACACGTGAGGGAGGTAATGTAAGGATGCCGTTTTGTGAATCTAGGACCTAGATGGTGAGTTTCTGTTGGTTCCTATGGGTTATGGAGTGGGGGTTTCTTTGGTAATTTGAGAAGAGGAGGGCACGTGATCCTGACATGTGTTGCCGTGTTGGTCACCCACTTGGAGGTTGGATTGCTGGACCAACTCTTTAGCTAGCAATAGCACACAACTCGTCAATTACCGTAAAAAGTGTGATTCATTCATCTCGGACTAAGCGAGGTAGGGCCGGCAATTTTTCTGTATCTCTTTGGTGTTGGAGAATTAAACCTTTTTACCTTGTACTTGCTAATTTCCTCATTATTGGCAATGAGTACGGCGGGTGATTTCCCCTTCATAAGTTTTTTTAACATGATGCGCCGGTGGATAGGGTACCTGCAGGTATATCGGATTCATATATATATATATATATATTTGATTCTTGTATTGATTCAGATTTTATGTTATAATTCCATCAACTATTCATTCGATATGGTACGTTATCATTAACGACAATTAATTACTGAACGATACGTAGCTAAATGAGTCTTAAAATACAATATTTTCATTTGAATTCAAAATATTAATTTTAATAATAAATTAATATAAAAATAAAAAATAAATGTGAAAATACCAAAAAACTCATCATCATTATCCTGTTTCTCTAGTTTCCTTTCTCTCTCTCTCTCTCTCTCCACACGTCCCTCTTCTTTTTCAAACCTTCATAATCATCACCATACCAAAAAACCTCATCATCATCATCATCATCAGTTTACGTACATATTTTATGTAATTAGATTCCATGGTAAACTAATGTGAGAGGTTCATTTATTTTGTTTTTGTTATAATTCTTATTTTTTCCATATTGTTCAAAATTTAAAGGAAAAGAAACAAAAATCAATAAGAAAAATTATTTTGAAATATTAAAGAAGTATTGAGGATTTTAATATTTAGGAAAAATTTGAAAGTTGAAGAAAAAAGGAAGAAGAGTTGAGAAGATTTATGAAAAAATTATTGTTTTTGCTTAGTTCTTAATTTTTTTTTCCTTTTAATTTATTTTCTACCAAATTTGATCTCGAGATAACAAATCTTTATAAATTTTCTTAACTTTTTTTTTCCCTCCAAGTTTTTCAAGCTTGACATTTATTTTCTAAGCATTAAAAGCTACATAGAAATTCTTAATCAAGTAGCTTCCTAAGGTCTACCTCTCTCTCATTATTAATGCCGGGATAACATGTTGCCTCAAGACTTTGCATAAACTCTATCAACAATCACAAGATAGAATTCTCAATAAGCTATTCTATCTCAATAAATAGATAAAAAAAATGCTACAAGTCCATAGATAATCAAATCCTTTCTCATTCCTAACATAAAAAAAATTTATCAAATAAGTCATTTGAAAAATTAGACTAAGATTGAGGTGTTCTCCGGGTTGGACTTGTCCAAACAAGTTGAAAATTTATCATAATCTATCTAATATTTATTAGTAGAAGCATGCAAAATTTTGGAATCAAACTAAGTTCCCTAAGACCTTTTTAGGTTAGATAAATTTCTATACCCGAATCTATCTTTGCACCATTCGAAATTTCATTAAGCTCTTTGAATCCATACACCCCTCAAAACAAGTCCAAACTATACCAAATTTTATACACAATCACAAGAGGTTTAGTAGAAAGATTTTGCAAAGTTTTAGCCCTAACAGATTACCCTAAGCCCTCCAATGTAAAGTATTTTGAGAGTAATTTTTAAGGATTATGTTGGCTAATTTATGGAAGTGAAACTACCATTATTATAAAATCATACAAGTATGATTAATAAGCCTTAGAACTAATCAAATTTATCGAATCAACGAAGAGTAAAAAAAAACTTATAGAATAACACGCCAAAAGTCTTGAAATCTCAACCTCAAGCTCTTACACACAACCATCTAAACTCACTTTAGTCAATCACTCTAAGGACGTATTCTAAAAAGTCCTAGTCTAGTCCAATCCAAGAAAATACTTGAATATTTGAAGAAATAATTCTAATTTTATTACTTCCAAATTCGACGGATAGCCTATCGAATATTTTAGCCAAAAACCTTGACAAAGATGCATAAAAATTGTTTAAATACTCACTCTTAACCCTAGGAGTTTTCGATTAGGGAAACATTTTTACTATATTAGGCGAGACTTCACTCTCATAAAATATAATGGACTTATACAATCTACACTTAATTAGGACTTATTCTTATTTAACTTAACTAAATATGAATTCACATATTACAAGGACTCATTAAAAACCTTTTTCCTTAAAAAATAGGAATCCACTAAACAAAGGATTCTCAATTCTTGCTTAACCATCCACCTCCCTAAATTTTAGGAAACAATTAATTAATGAAAACTTAATAATTTAGCCCAAATCTAATACATAAAAACAAAAACCAAATAATAAAAATCCAATCCATATGAGCATTAAATAAATAAAATATAAAAATTAAAAGATAAAAGCCTAAAACTTTCGATCATGGAGGCCTAAAGCATTCGGCGATAACGAAGAAGGAGATACTTCGTGTCACACTCCTCTAGTTGAAGAAAAGTCAAACATAACTTTTTGATGTTCAAATTCTTCATCTAGACAAGGATAGAGATCTCGCCTTCTTGAATGTGATTAAAACCAAGTAAGCTTTATATGAACACTCCCTCATATGCTTTGTGATCTCGAACAGGCCTTCAATCTCCTTAGTCTTGACATACCTATTCTTGGATACCTTTTTTCTCTTTATTTTCACCCACACAAAGTCTCCTTAATGGAAAGTTGCTTTGCAATAAAATTTAGAGACTTCAACCTATGGTTGATAGATTCGACCAAAATTTCTAGATAATTCTCAAGTCGTTTCTCCTTATCATACTCAACCCTCTTGATAGCAGCGAGTCCTTAAATTACTTTTTTTAGTTTTGACTATAGCTATATCATGTTTTCTCTCATTTATGGAAGCCTTGAAATCCCTCTTATTACCCTCAATGTGACCACCATTACTCCCATAACTATCAACAAGTAATCAACTCTCCCACAACGACCACTCCTATTCCATAATCTTCTAGCATTTAACCATGCTCCCCCACTTCATGACGCACAATAGATATCTTTCAATTCAAGTCAATGTTAATCACATTAGAGCAATTTGATTCATCGTCTCATACATATCATACTTAGGATCATTAGCTAAAACATCGCAAGTCTTCTTCCTACTATACAAATTATATTTAGTAATAGTCATAGTATCAACTAAAACACTAGAAGAACTACTAGAATCTTTATAGATCATTGACTTATTAAATTAATATAACTATGTAAGCGACCTCTTAGCAAAGGTATTCTCACTTATTCCATAGTCATTGGTTTGAGAACATACCTATTGCCCTAGTGTAATACTGAATAAGTGTTCACAAAACCATTATGGATGACATATCAATCAAACTTCCAAGGTGTTCGTAATTGAATATCACAAATTTGAAGGATCATACATCCTATGGAGGTGCAAAATAAATATAAACTTTCCTTCATCTAAGGATCGAAGATCAAGCCGTTGAATCTATTAACCATACATGTATGAATTTAAAGCAATAAATAAAAAATTACCTCTTGTAGTGCGGAATTTTGGAAAAAACTATTTTCTTCCCTTTTTTTCTTTCTTTGTCGTATGCCATAGTAGTTTTTAGGGTTGGTTGAATTTTTTTTCTCTTTTTCTTATTGTATTGCCATAGCTCTCTCTCATATATTTATAGGAGAGTTTCCTTACCCTTCAAAGAGAAGGAGAGGGACGGTAATGACTCTTTAAAGGACTTTAGGTTGTTGCTTCCTTATCCTTCAAGGATGAGAAATTATTTTACATGTGGACTTTTCACCATTATCTTTAAAACATTCATCCTTATCCACTAAGGTTGATGTTTATCCTTATACCAAAATATCTTAAGGCTTTTAATTAAACTTAATGAGCCAAAATCATTCTAGCCTAATTAATTTATTTGGACTATCCAAATAAATAATATTAGATTATTTTAGGTGGGTCCACATAAGGAAGCAATTTTCAAAAATGACCTTTAACCTAATTTAGGAAACTCATTTTCATTTTAGGTTATTTATTTTCAAATTTGGAACCAACTTTTAAATTAGGAAACTGATTTCTAAAATAAGAATTTTTCATTTTAGAAAACATCCTAATTAAGAAAACTTTTCATTTTAGAAAAATTTTCATTTAAAAAAACTTTCCATTTTGGAAACCCTTTCCAAAACAGGAAACTTTCAAAATTGAAAACCTTTTTTAGTATCTTTACTTCTTATTCATCATGTAAATTCTTAAACTTATGCGTGTGACTTAATAGGCTCCTAGATATGTTGGCAATGTATCAAGAATAAAAAATTCCTCTTTTATCTTTTGATACATAAATCAAGATTGGCCTCTAATAAGGCATCATGATTACCCAATTCTCTAGGAGGAAGTCCATTATTATCTTTCATGAGCATGGTTACCATACAATTCATTCCTCATGTCAACTTATTATAGTGTGATCTCGAATTTGGTTATAAGTTTTGTTCGATTATGATCACATAAGTTTTCTTTGATTTTCAAATGTCTTAGCTCATATAGTAGACCAACTATGCTCTATTGGTATAGCCATAGATTTCTCGAGTAGATATTTATCGAAGTGCAATGTGATAACTCCTTCAGCATACAAGGAATGACATGTTCTATCGTAGTCATACACTTACCTCTATTGAATTCCTAGTACACCCAATGAATTGCCCATGTGTAACCCTTTAATGGGTCCATCAAAACGAGTGTCAAAGTACATAAGTCTTCTAATAAGATAATCGTGATGACTTTAAGTCTAAGGATCATTTGTATCCATCTCGTATGAGATTCAAATAGACTAAAACCAAATGGGTTTTCATGGTAAGTAAAGTCTAATGATATGTTCTTTAACATGAATTGCCCAAGTGCTTACTTTAGTATCATCATTCCAATCGGTGTGAGATCTTCTAATGCTATTATATAGTATGAGTATAACACACATAAGTCTATTCACATATAGTCAATGTTCATTCTTGATAATGTTATGACTTGAGATGTTTAATGATATCATTAATATGTATTAATATTTATATCATATCTTTTGATCAATCACTATCATAAGGACTTCTATCTAATTTTAATGAATTTATAAACATAAAACATAAGAATTAATAGAATGACTTCTTTATTATTATTAAAATAAATAATGTAATAATACATTAACTCAAGCCCATCCAAATATGATTGGATCTTAGGCACCTACATTAACAATCTCCCACTTGCACTAGAGCCAACCAGCTATGTCCATCAATCTTGATGATCGAGTGAGCGTCTCATGTTTTAGCTTGTGATAAAAGCTTAGTCAAAGGGTCAGCTATGTTATCATTAATGTGGACCTTTTCTATCCTTATGTTACCATGATCCTTTTATCTCTATAATTAAGTGGTAGCAATGCAATACATGCTTGGACCATTGATGAGACCTTGGTTCTTTAACTTGTGCTATGAATCCTTTATTATTGGCCATCAAGTTATATGACATTGGAATAAAACTTTCTTTGATTTTATCATACTAAACCTTTTAGTATCATGTCATTGTAACTACCTTGGGAGACGCCTCACATTCCAAGTGATCTATCTCTATAGATTTATACTCTTAAACCGTAGGTTACTCTCCCATATCATTCTTTAAAAATTTCCTTTTAGATTCCTTAATCTTTTATTTGTAATATGATAATATTATAGCCGAGGTGTAATTTTATGTTGAATAACTATAATTAAGGTTTGTCTTTATTTTTGATAAATAATCAAACTCTTTGATCGTTTCATAAAATATTGACTTTTATTCCTAGATGCATGCTTAAGTCTATTAATAGACATTAACATTTTGTAAATCTTATTTACATGTTCTTCGGAACCATCGGGGTTTGTCATCACATCTTTTTCATTTTCCTTTTATAGGAATCAATATGTAATACTTGTCATTTCAAAAGCATTAGCTTATCATCCCTTTTAGGGCTCACATCACCATGTGTCAAGACGAGAAGATCATATCCTTTTGTCTTGTTGATGAATTTCTTTTGAATTTTATAAAGTTCTTGTGTTTTTGTTTATGAGAGAGTTACAATACTTTGTAATCCTTCTACTTTAGGTTCCTTTAAAGTATTAATTTGTGAGTCTACTCAAATCTTGTTGAGTTTAAATTTCCTATCACTTGTTTTTAGCATTCATAAATTCCTTCCCAAAGAATATAGTATACTTAGTAATAAACAATACTTTGTTCTAGTGGTAAGCTATTGACATCCTTATCTTACTTTAGATATCTCACAATTTAGCATTTTATTGATTTTAGGCTTCAGTTTGTCTTTGTCAAACCCTTTGACATACACTTTATAGCCTTAAATCTTAAGAAAAGATTAATTCATTTTCTTTTCTTTCTCATATCTCATAGTGATCTATTTAAATAGATTTAATTAGAATCCTATTCTTTGTAAAGGTTGCGGTAAGGAGTGTTTATCCAAAAATAGGGATATTAATTTAACTTATTATGAACCGATCATGTCTAACATGTGATATTTATGGAGAATCTCATTCTCTTTTTTGTGATTTAAAGTTTTAGGATTCAATTATTTATTTTCTTGATCTAATCGAAATACCTTAATACTTTTACTAGTTCGTCATGCGACTTTCAAGTCTAAACTTTTAAACATTTTGAATGTTTGGACTTATGTCTCATAAACAAAACATGATCCACTATCCTTAAAGGTTATGTGACAAGCATGTTCTCCTATTGCTTGGGTGAACATAAACCCATATACATTTCTATATACAAGATCTATATTAATTAATAACTCTTTCTCATTTTCAACTAAAAAGGGATTCATGTCTCTTTGCCAAGTAAACAAGATTCCTTAAACATCATCAAATGATTCTAAATATCATCTATATAAGTAGGTTGGATATGAGATTCTTCCTTATAGGACTAAGTTTGACATTTTTTTACTAATTAATGTTTATTTAGATCATTTGAGTCTTTTAGTATTTATGTTATACACTTGGGAGTTATGTTCAAAACATATAATCATTATCAAGATTTCCCATAAAACTAATTTTTAAAAATAATATTATTCTTAAAAATGAAATACATATTCATAACAAGAAATGAAAATAAATCTTTACTCTTTACTAAAATAATAATGATTCGAGTCTTAGCACATTCCTACATGGTAGTGCTAGCGCATAAATACCTACATCTAATGGTCCAACTCTTGATTGATTGCGGTCTTGTAGATATTTTTCCTTGAAGCTATCTTCCTTCCTTTTCTAAGCTCCTCTACATTTAAAAAATATAAGCACCATATCTAGTATCATATACTCATGAGGTGAAATTTTAAAATCAAATGATTAGTATTAATAACATAAATACTCGAGATGGTGGTAGAACTTTTCTTTTGCACCCCTTCTAGGTACTCCTTATAATTACACTTCCAACGCACTTTCTTGTTGTAATGAAAGCAAAATGTATCCTTTAGGCTATTATGAGCCTCGACCTTTTTCACTCCTCTAGTAGGCGCAATTGAAGACTTCTTCTTCTTCTTAAGTTTTTTCTAGCCCTTCACTGCACCATTTTCCTTATTAACTAGAAGTATAGAACTTTTGTTCTTCTTGTTAATTTCAGTCGAGCTTCCTTAGCATGGGCAATAACTCTCTAAGAGTTTTTTTGCATATACATTATGTTGAAGTTTATGATGAACTATCCATAGATATCGAGCAATGATTGTAATACTAGGTCAATGGATAATTCGAGCATCTATTTCAACTTCAAGCTCGAGCGATCTATCAATATAGCATATCATTTCAATGACATGCTTTTCAATGTTCGATCCCTCATCCATTCCGGCTCTAAAGAGTTTCTTTGTTATCTCATAGCACTCATACATAGTATTCTCCTCAAATAAACTTTTGAGCTTTACTATGATGTCAAAAGCTTGTGAGATTCTATGTTGGCACCTATGCTCCAATGTCATGGTAGCAAGCATGATGATTTGAGTAGTGATCATATCATCTTTATGTTTGATCCATGCTTTATGAGCTTCGACTTGAACCAAGTGGAGGCACAACTAGAAGAGTTTTCTTTATCATATAGAGTATTTTCTCATTTTGAAGGATTATC